TTTAGGGTTTACGGGTTCAGGGTTGAGGGTTGAGGGCTTGAGGGTTTAGGGGTCGAGGGGTTGAGGGGCTCAGGGGTTTGGGAGTTTAGGGCTTTAGGGGCTTTGGGCTTCGGGGTTTAGGGTGGAGGGGCCTGGGGGTTTACGGGTTTAGGGGTTTGGGAGTTTAGGTGTTAGGGGTTTAGGGGTTCAGACTATCCGGTCGAAAGGGTTTAGGGCATCAGGGTTTAGGGGTTCAGGGGTTTAGGGTTTGGAAATTCAGGGTTTGCGAGTCTTTGACGATACGGATACTTTCCAGGTGTCTCGTTTCCTCTGATACTTGCCACTGCTTCGGGTTCGTAAGCTAGTTGAATCTCTGGTGCTCCGGATTTGATGTTCTATTTGAGACACCCCTCTTTTTGACGCTCTTGAGAATTACTCCTCCCGTTGAATGCCCGGACCCTAAGCCCTAAACCCTAAACGGAGCCGCGGTGCACAGCAGGCCTTGAAATCCTTGACCAAGTTCCTTGAGCCCGAAGCCCTTTAAAACCCTTCAGCTCCTTGAGCCTTCGGGTTTAGGTTTTAGGGTTTAGGGTTTAGGGTCTAGGGCTTTGGGCTTTGGGTTCAGGGTTTAGGTCCTAGGGCTTAGGGTCTAGGGTAGGGTTTAGGGTTTAGGGTTTAGGGTTTTGGGTTTTGGGTTTACAGCGTAGGGTTTAGGCTTTAGGGTGTAGGGCTTCGGGTTTAGGTCCCAAAGCTCTGAGGCCCTTAAGCTTGAGAGGTCAGCAGTGGCAGCAAGCCGTGTCCGTGCTGGCCGGGATGTCGCGGGACGCGCTTTCGACGGACCGCCGGGGAGGGCGGCGAGAGTTATCTGAGTGCGGGGACTGAGGTTAGGGTTGCAGGATTTTGGTTGCTTGGGAGTTTACATAGACCGTTTGGGCATCGGATTTGGTTGTTTCTGGCCCTTGGAAGCCACAAGTCAAACATCACGATCCGTTTTGCCAGAATAGTACTTGAGGCAGATAGTCCGAAGACCCAGATTTTCACGAAGACCTGTATTAGGTTGCAACCATGAAGCCCGTAAAAGAAAAGCCTGTGAACAACACAGAGCCCTTAGGACATCATCAGCTACAACGCTTGCATCAGCTCTTGTCCCCTGGCTGCTGTGGCCTAGGGTGTTCAGGGCTCATTAGGGTTCATAGGGGCTGATTTGGGTTCAGTAGGGGTTTCTAGCAAACCCCTCTTGTTTTCCCTCCATGGAGTGGGCTTGTAGCCTCAGGTCCGTGACCCCCTCCACCCTGTAGTAGTGGTCTAGCGTGTTCCTGTTGGACACCAGCAGTGTCGGGCAGAAAGTAGTCTTTTCAGTGTTGAGCAGCAGAATGTTTCCAAGAGCTTCCGCGAGAAATCTGGACTCTTCCCCTAACCCTAAAGCCCTAAAACCCACCCTAAACCGCAGGGTTTCGGGTGGAGTTTGAAACATGTTTTCAGGTTTCGTCTCGCACGTAGAGTTCACAAAAGGCTTCAGGCGCAGGGTTGCAACACTAAGCCTATGAAGAAGACGCTGTAAAGACCACAATGCGACCTCCGCCCTTGCACCCAAGCCGGAAAACCTTCATGCACCGCAGTCTAGAACCTCAAGCCACGGACAGTCACAACCTCTCCAAGAGTGGACCGAGTCCCAATCATTACTCTGCTAGGACGTCCTTTCAGTGCTCAGGCGTTGCGTTTCTCTCTACCTTAAGTCTACAGGGGTTGTCGCATCGTAACCGGCCATCGTGAAGAGCTGGGAGCAGTCTAGATTTCTTGGATTTTCTTGGATATGTTTACGGATCCCGAGACAGGATTGGGGTCTTAGGTTCGAGGCCCAACTCCCCTAAACCCTAAACCCTAAGCCCCAAGCCGAAGTCTAACTAAATCCTAAACCCTAAACCCTAAACCCTAAACCCTGAACCCTAAGCCCTGAACCCTAAACCCTAATCCCTAAGCCCTAAACCCTAAACCCTAAACCCCAAGGCGAGAGAAGCCAACACTGGCAGCGGGGCCTGGACCTTCTGCATGCAGCTGCGGCTCGGACGCTGCGGCCGACGGCCAGCACCTACAGCGCAGGACATCTCTGGGGTTCAGCGCGGTTTAGGGTTTAGGGTTTAGGGTTTAGGGGTTTTCCGAATGGAGTTCTCTAGATGTCCCCTAAGCCCTAGAGTTTTCAACTCGTCGAGCCGTTCAAAACGTGGTTTCCGGCTTCGGCTTGCTGTCTCCCGTTGCCTAAAGCCCAGGAAAGCCCCGCTTCAAGTCTCTGATCTCGTATTCCGTGGGTGCCTTTTGTGCGAATGGATCCTGAACTTGGGGGAGGCGGAAATGTATAGGCACCCTACTTGGAGGTTCATGGGTGGTCAGATTCCCAAGCCGAGTGCTCTGAGGCCCAGCATGGCTCAAAAGCACGCTGAGTTCGGCGTCTTCAGGTTCGGCAATGTTCGACCGGACGAGCGCGGAAGTTCGCCTCACCAGCGGAAAGACAGCTATGGTCACTGCAGAACTAAACCCTAAACCCTAAACCCTAAACCCTAAACCCTAAGCCCTAAACCCTAAACCCTAAACCCTAAACCCTAAAGCCCTAAATGAAGATGTGGCCGCAGTACTGTGGAAGTCGGATCACCGCGGCTGCTCGATTCATCTGGAAGTGTTCCACAAAAGAAAACCCGCCACTATAAGGGTTAGGGTTTAGGGTTTAGGGTTTAGGGTTCATGGGTAGCTATAATTGGGGTGATAAGTAGGGTAACTATACTTATAAGCCCATATTAGGGGACTTATAACCCCACTTATAACTACCCATGAGCCTCCAAGTACGCCCTAAACTCCCAAAACTCCTAAACCCTAAACCCTAAACCCTAAGCCCTAAACTCCCAAAACCCCGAGCCCATGTCCAGGAGTCACCGTCTGCGGGGCTGCATCTCGCTGGGTGGAGGCGCTGTTGCTGCTGGAGGCAAGTGGGTAGTTTTCTACATTAGGGTTCCTTTTTGGATCCTTTTTATAAGGGTGCCGTACTATATTGGGGACCTAAAAAGGGACCCTAATTTAGAGAACTATCCAAGTCTTGGGAAAGGAAGAGCGGGAGGGAAGACGCCTGAGAGTTGCTGTGCTTCAAGGTTGCTAATTTAGTAGACACCCTAAACCCCAAAACCCTAAACCATAAACCCCAAAACAGTAGTTAAGGATAAGAAAATCCGAAAAGCGAGCAGAATGTGGAGGAGCCCTTAGCCCTTACAGCTTTTTGGGCTTCTGCTTTTCGCAGGAGTCCACCCACCACCTAGCGGCGAGTGCCTTCGGCAGCACATAGCGCCGCGACCCCCAACACGCAGAGTAGTGAAGAGCTTCGACACGCGGCTTGGGGTTTCGGGGTTCGGGTCTTAGGGTGGTCTGTGTTTAAGGGGATTCGGGGTTTAGGCTTCCGTGCTCTCTTCGGGGATGGTGGTAGTTTGGTTTTGCTCACCCTAAACCCGAAACCGCTTCGCCCCCAAACCGTGTAGCCAAACTCTCTCTCTTCCTCTCGTCTCTCTAGCCTCCTCGCGCTGGCTCCCTGCACCTGAACACTGGACCCTATGCGGGCACCTCAAACCCGTGCGTGCCCCCAATCAAACTCCGCATGGAACCCCAGCGCCCCAAGCTCCCCCCAAAGCCAAACCCTGAAAGCTACAGTAATTCTATGAGCCTTAAATCAAGAACCACCCAAACAAACACCATACCATCAAGCCCGAAAGCCTAAACCCTAAACCCTAAACCCTACTTTTAGGGCTTACCCGCCAGACCCAGGCCTTCTTAGGCTGGCAAAGAGGACTCCCCCTGAACCCCAAACACTAAACCCTAAGCCCACCTTATCCTAAAACCCCAAGCCCAAAACCCTAAACCCCTCCCCCTTGTCCCTTCCCCCCTACACCCTAAACCCCGAACCCTAAACCCTAAACCCTAAACCCTAAACCCCGAACCTCGTGGGTCGAGGCCTCGTCGTCTTCAATGCCGCGGTCGCCGCTTTGGGACGCGCAGCGGCCTGGGACCAGGCCTTCCTTCCGTGGTTCATTGGGCTTGGGGTTTAGGGTTTAGGGTTTAGGGTTTAGGGTTTAGGGTTTAGGGTTTAGGGTTTAAGGTCTCGGGGTCGTACTTAGAGGATCATGGGACCTTAATTGGGGTTATATGTATATTTACCCTCACTTACTAAGTCCCATGATCCTTTAAGTAGAGCCGGGGTTAAGGGGCCTTCCGGTTTCGAGAGTTTCGTGGATTCAGTTTTCGAGTTTTCTCTGTGTGTCGGGTTTTTGGATAAATTTAGGGTTTAGGGTTTAGGGTTTAGGGTTTAGGGTTTAGGGTTTAGGGTGAACCGCAACCTGAGTCCCAGTAGATTGCTGGCGAGGCGCTGTCTTTGCTTCACCATGCGGCGAGTCTCCTCGAGGCAAAGGGGCTTCGGGAAAGGGTTCAGGGTTTTAGGGTTTAGGGTTTAGGGTTTAGGGTTTAGGGTTTAGGGTTTAGGGGTTTGGAGTTTGTTCGGCTTTTGCTGGGGGTGCGGGCTACGTGTTCTGGCACTGGTTTCTGGGGCAGCCCCTGTTTACAAACCAACGGCGATGGCATGAAGAGAGTTCCTCTGCTGTTTCCCAGAGAACCCAATACCCCTTAATTCAGGAATATACCTTAAGCCATAATATTAGGGCCCCTATAATTTAAGGTATATTCCTTAACTAAGGGGTATTAGGTTCTCGGGGTTTGCAAAAGGCAACTCGAGCACCATCCGCGCTTAGCCCGCATCCGAGTAGGTCTTCAATCTCAACCTTCCACCCGTTCCATGGGCCAGAATTACCTTAAACTACCAAACCCTACTTTCTGTAGGTTCTTATTATAAACCCTAATGCGGAATTTAGAGGGACCCTACAAAAAAAGTAGGTTTTGGCAGGTTTAGGTAGGAGTGTAGAAGGCTGATGCTGCATCGGCCTCCAAAGCTGAGCGTGCTTGAGATCTGAGGCAGCTGGTTAGGTCCCGAAACCCCGAGAACCCAATACCCCTTAATTAAGGAATATACCTTAAATTATAGGGGCCCTAATATTATGATTTAAGGTATATTCCTTAATTAAGGGGTATTGGGTTCTCTGGGAATGACCCCAGTAACAGGCAGGGCATTGCAATGTGGTTGTCCTAAATCAGGCTTCCTTGAACAACCTCACAAACAGCCCATGAGAAGCAGCTTGTCCCTAAACCCTAAACCCTAAACCCAGACATATGCTTCAGGTGGACGTAATCACATACAATGCCGCCGTCACGGCCTGCGAGGGCGCGGCGGAGTGGCAACAGGCCGGAACCCGGGGCCCAGGTTGTTTCGGAGCGGGATTCGGGGTGTTGGGAAGCCTGAACTCAACAAACCCATAACCCTAAACCCTAAACCCTAAGCCCTAAACCCTAAACCCTGTGTGGGCACGGCGTTCGTGCGAGCGAAAGTCCATTGCACTTAAAAAGCGCCCTAAACCCTAAACCCTAAACCCAGTCAGCCGAAAGCTGGTGACCTTGAGCCCCAACGGGGCCAAACAGCTTTCAAGAGCCCAAAGGTCCAGCTAGACAGCCTCTAAGCCTTCTGAGGGAAGCTTTAATATAGGAGCCTCAATAATTACCGATACTATTCTTTGGGGGTTCATTATTATGACTATAGTATGAAGGATCCCAGAACCCTATTCTAGTTATTGAGGCCCCTATATTACACGCAAAGCTGTGTCGATCAGCGGGAATTCTGGTTTCTTCTACCAAGCGCCAGGTTGAGGGTGCAGGGTTGGGGTGTGGGATCTACTGTGCAGTTTTCTTCCCTGCATGCTCCGTCTGCCCTAAACCCTGAAGCAATCCACGCCAAACCTAAATATCTAATCCCTAAGAGCCCTAAACTCTAAATCCAAAGCCCAATGCAAGAAGAAGGCCGGCCGCAATTGTACGCCCTCAAGCCTACGCTCTCTAGCTTGGGGGGTTTACTGTACTGACTGTACACCCGAACATCACGGGAACCCCAACTACCCAGAGAACCCAATACCCCTTAATTAAGGAAAATACCTGAAAATATAGGGGCCCCATTATTATGATTTAAGGTATATTCGTTAACTAAGGGGTATTGGGCTCTCTGGGTACCAATTCTTGCCGAACGGTAAGCCACACCTCTTCCTACTGTAGGCGCTGGGGGTTTTGGCAGCCTTGCGGAGCAGCGGTGGCTTTGCTGGGAGTTAAACCCTAAACCCTAAACCCTAAACCCTAAACCCTAAACCCTAAACCCCTAAACCCTAAACCAACAACCCTAAACCCTAAACCCTAAACCCTAAACCAAAAACCCTAAACCCGACTGCTGGGAGTCAGGGTTCAAGATCGGGGCTCTGACGGTGACGACGTTGTTTGTCGATCGCCGACTTGGAGGATCATGGGACTTAGTAAATTTGGCTATAAGCCCCTTAACTGGGGTTATAAGAACCCTAAACCCTAAACCCTAAACCCTAAACCCTAAACCCTAAACCCTAAACCCTACTTGCTAAGTCCCATGATCCTCTAAGGAGAGGCCCTTGAGTCGGTTGCAGTCTTCACCCCCTCTGAGTGCGTTTAGGGTTGAGGGTTTAGGG